CCTCTCCCCATTCCAGCCCAGAATCTCTTATCCCCTGTGTGTTCCAGACTCTGCCCCAGATATCTGCCCCCTTCTTCTTCTGGCCCTTTCATCTCTGGGACCCTGAAAGAAGTCGGGAAGAAGGAAGCCAGGGCTGAGAGGGTATTCCTTTCTCAGGCCTCTTACTCCTGGAAAAGTGCTTGTCGGAGTGGAAAGTAGACAGACTTTAGAACAAGACAAGCAAGAGTCTGAAACTGAAATATCGTACTTAACACATTATGTAATGTAGGTAAGCTACTTAACTCGAACTTTCTATTGCTTATTTATAAAACAGTGACAGCAATATCTACCTAGCAGGATTGTCATAGCACTAAAAAGAAAAAAGAAAAAAAAAAGCACTAAAAAGTGTCCTGGCCATTTTAGGCATCTCACACATCTTACTTTTCCTCTTCTTTCCCCACTTCTACCAACATCCTCCCTTGGGATAGCCACCTTTGCTCAGGGCAGTTTCATTTGCTAGCTCTCTAGAGATACTGGAAGTCTTGTGGCCTGGTTACACACTCATTCCAACTGTTTTCAAGCCAGCCAGAGCTGTCATTTTCCCTCAGAATGTCTCTGGATGACTAAGAGGAGAAAGGGGTGTGGCTATCAGGGGTCTGCAAACCCAGTTTGAAAATTCCTAGGCAGCTGGTATCTCCAGGAGCCAGACAGCAGCCAGGATCTGGGCAATTGGCTGATAGGAGCTGCTGGCTGCCCTTCCCTTTAAGACACAGCCTTGGCCCCACCTCTGATATGCCAGTCAGATAGGAGCCCTGTTACAAGGCACAGTTCAACTGACTTTCATGTCCCATCAAGTTCAAGTTCATTTGTTTTCCCCCTTTACCACCCTATCCCCCGCACACACACGCACGCGTGCGCGCGCACACACACACACACACTGAGCTTAGAAGAAGACAGGTGAAGTTTTAGGAAACCAAGGGGTTGGCCAGAGAATGGGAGTTTATAAATATGTTTCATGTGACCTGAGAATGAGCTAGCCTCACTTAATTAGGAGCATACCAAATTTCCTCAGCAGGGAGCTAGACCTGGGAAGAGTGTGCAGGAACACTGGGAGACTGAAATGAGGGCATAAAGTCTTACTGGAAGGTACAGGACTTTTAGTACATTTCCAAAAGAAGGAAGCAAATTCATCTACAGAATGAGCCACTTACCTTCAACCTGACAGGCTGTACTATAACCTTGATGCTCTGGTCCATCAAGCTCCACTTTAGCCCACAACGTGGCATGCATGATACGTAAGAGATATTGACTACGATGTTGGAAACGGAAGAAAAATCACTCACCTCTTCTCTCTTGGCCTCCTTCTAGAACATGTTTTCCAGACTCTGCACACATTTTCAGTTTATGTCGACATCAGAAAGCCTGGGGCAAATTATTCTCTGTGCACACCAGGTTCAAAACACTGATTCCAAATGTTCCTGGCTTAGTTCTAGGTCAGAACATTTTATCGTCCATTGGGCTTCTTTCTCCCTACAAATTCCCACACCTAAAAGTGTCTCAGTGGTATTTCTGCCATGTAGACTCAGTCTCAAATAAAATGAATCAGGTCCCTGGATAGATGAAAATAGCATTGGGTTAAGTGACTCCAATACCCTCAAAAGTAAATAAATAAAGATAATTAAATAATATTTTGGAGATCCTAAAACCAGAAATTTTTTTACAAAACTTCCATACATAAGCAGAATATGCATGTAATGAAAAGGTGGGAGAGGAGTCTTTTCCAGAAATCTATGCATGATAATAAAGGCAGGTATTGAAGGAAAAAAATCTATTCTGGCAACCTTAGGTTATAAAATGAACCAGGAATCTAAACTTGAAATGCAATCACCTCTGAGTGGTATATGTTTTACAAGCAAATTCTTACTCTTGTCATCCATTCCTGTCCTTCATATTGAGACATACTTGTATTCTGGAAAGCATGGAATCCCGGAAGCTTTGAAAGAAGGTTGACTTGGATTCTAATCCCAAATCTGATAGGTACTACTTGTGCTGCCTTGGGCAAAAAACTTGAAGATTTCCAGTTTCCAAAATTGAGCAACAAGGATACTAACACCTAAGATTAGGCTGTAATTGCTTGATACATGGAAACTGTTATGATGATAATAACAATAATAACATAATAATATCATCATCATCATCATTAATAGCACCATTGTTAATTATAAGACAGTTATTCAAATAAAATAAAGGTCACAATTGAGGTTTTAAGAAAGTGAAGGAGAAGATAGAATCTGTTCCACAATTTTACACTTTCCTCAGGTCACTCTGATCTCTTGGGAATAAATTTCATGATTGGAGAAAAGAGCACCTCATAATGAATGTTAATAAACAGGACTGCAATTCCAAAATCCACATAAATTAGACCAAAAAATGCAAAAAGACATGGAAGTACAGAGGATCTCCCTTAGTCAACGCTGCCAAAAATGCTATTATGTATTCACCCAACTGGAGTTCCTTCTAACAAACTGCCACTGAGCATATGGCTACCTTGGGCATTTTTTCATTACCCCAGAGTGTGTCTACAGTCCCATGTCGGTAAACTCCATCTGTATCTCTGTCAATGGAAGAAATTTCCATCAGGAAATATCAGCAGGCATCAGGGAAAGACCTTTCCAATTTACTGAGATCGAAGGAAGTAACTGCAGGGTTCCCCTCTCTCGCCTCCCTTTTTCTCCAACTCCAGCCAAAAAATGTCTTGTTTTCTTTCCCAAAGATTATCCCATCACCCACCCCTGCCTGCTCAGGGGGAGTCTCTGGATGGTCCTTGGACACATGGTGCTGTACATGATGTGCTAGTTGTATTCTGGGTCACCCAGCCCCTTCAACTCACCACTTAATAGGAATAAGGAGAAGAGCAAGCGAAAAGGACCTCCCACTTCTCTCAGATGCTGCACCAAGAGAATGCAAAGAGAAACAGCTCTGGGTGCTTTGTTGCTGTTGCTCTAGTTATTTTAATCTCTTCATGCTGGACAGCACCCATCAGGGACTAACTTGCAGGCAGGTTTTAACATCAAAGGCAGTGATGAATGTAATGTACCCTTCTGGGCAGGGCAGGAGCCCTTGCTGGGCAGTGGGTTGGGTTGGGGGAAAGAAGGGTGCAGGGGTGAGGCAGTTAAGTGAGGGAAGCCTGCACCAGTGATTGAATGTGGGAGCAAGAGCATTAAAAAATGTCAGTCCCAGGCTTCCTTCTGTGTATCTCACAGCCTGACCGTTACATCTCGGTTGCATATTGAATGTGACCCTTGCATTCACAATGCTTCCCCTGATATTTTTCACTGTAGACTTAGACAACCATCGCATCAATGTACTAGTTTAAAAGTTTTGTACTGACTATGCTGCTTTTAGAAAATAGACTCAGGGTCAGAACAGCCCTGTTTCTCTGTTCTCTTCCCTCTCTATACCCCAAAGAAGGGCAGAGCAATGGCATAGATGAAATAGATTGCATATTGACATTCCTGGGGATAATTTCTCCATATACAAATATGTCCATTTACATGATGTATTTATTTTTTAATTTACTTACATGTAGATATATATGAAGGATATACTTAAGCCCCCAATTACCCATATCAACATTATAGCTCTCCATCACCCTGAGAGGAATGCACTGGGAAAAACCCTCACTATTTTTGAAAATCCCATTAATAACACAGGCCCCATTTGGGTGGTATTTGCAATGAGAGTCTCATTGATAAAAGAACCTACAACCAATTATCTTCGGACTTTATAGAATTTTGGATTTCCCAGAACCTATGAAGTTCATAAAAACTAATTGTAATTCTTCCTGAGTCCAAAACAATGGAAAGAAAGACACTTGGAGTAGGATTTTACGAGTTTATCTAAAAAAAAAAAAAAAGGACCCCTGGGAAAATGTTAGCCAATCACAGCAAGCATTTGTGTATTCACATCCATAAATATCCACCAGCAGAGGACGTCACAGGTCTAGGCCTCTGTCATGAATGTCTAAGTTCCTACCACGCAACTCAGGCCCGTACGCTGGAGAGAAGAGGAGGGGGACACCAAGCCAAGCCCAGTAGCGGAAGACACAGCACACCCTCATCCCAGCCTTCATAGACCCTTTTCTTACAGTACATGAGAAGTCACCAGTAAAACTAAAATTCTTTCTCAACAAGATACGCTATATTCTCACCCTCAGTTGGATATTCAGAGCCAAAACTAGAATAATGATTCACCATTGCCTTGGCCCAAAGCACATTCAATCTTTTTCCAACTCCAGTATCATTTTGGCAAAGTATCATAAAACTGCTACCAAAGCTGAATCTATTTCTATAGCTAGCTATCCATCTACATATCTTCATTGCCTACAAAATAGTAAATTTTTTTTTTTTTTTTTTTTTTTTTTTTTGAGACAGTGTCTCACTCTGTCGCCCAGGCTGGAGTCTCGCTCTGTCGCCCAGGCTGCAGTGCAGTGATGCAATCTCGGCTCACTGCAAGCTCTGCCTCCCAGGTTCACACCATTCTCCTGCCTCAGCCTACTGAGTAGCTGGGACTACAGGTGCCCGCCACCACACCCAGCTAATTTTTTGTATTTTTAGTAGAGATGGATTTCACTGTATTAGCCAGGATGGTCTCGATCTCCTGACCTAGTGATCCACCCGCCTCGGCCTCCCAAAGTGCTGGGATTACAGAAGTGAGCCACCACACCTGGCCAATCCTACCCTCTTTTTAAGGTCCAGCTCTCTCATTTTGGAAATAACTTCTTCCTCTGAACAAGCACAGTGCTCACTGCTTATATCTCTAATTATTCTTATCTCTTTCCATCTCGTGATACATTCACTTACATTCATGTCTCATTTCTCATGGGGAAAATATTCCACTTCTTGAGGATAAAATCCATAGCTGTTCCTTCTCTGTACTTCCACAACACCTACTTTTCTTTAACATTTAGAAGGCACCCAATAAATGTTGTTTGTATAAGTGAATAAATGAATAACATTTAATTATGTTAAATAAATGCAAGGTATCATTTATAATATAGAAAAATGTATGTTCTATCCATGCAGGTGGATGTAAAATGACATGTGACTAAAAAAGAAAAAAAACTTGTCCTGGGCGTGCATGGAAAAACAAATATAAGGGGCTCAACAGGAACAAACTGCAAAATTCCAAGCTCTCTTCTATCTGCAGCTGTCCCTTCTCTTGAAATTACTTCATGCCACAGTGATATAGGACTCACAGTGCTCATTGGAATACACAATCCATCTTCAGGAGCCCATAGTCACAGGAAGAAGAGAAGAGGAAAAAAATTCCTAAGCACATTTCACCCATTGGTTTTGATCCCCAGCCAAGGCCGTCCACCTGCAAAAATTCCCCAACTATCACATTTCTTCTGCTCTGGCTGATAACGAAGATAATTGTTTCATCCACTTTGTCAAAGCTGAAATGAAAAGAGGGCAAAGCAAAATGATGCCATCGTAAATCATGGGGCTGAGACAGCAAAAGAGGGACAAGATAGCAACTTCATTAAGGGTTATGTATTGTGCCATTAAGTTGGCAGGGGGGTCACCTTTTGTGTCACACCCGGCCTCTGTGATGCATTGCCAGCTCTTCTTTCCAATAAAATTAAACGGAGATGTAAAACTGATTAGGGCCATGTTTGCTTCAGCCTGTGGCAAAGGGAATGGTACAGGGAATAATTGATATAAGATTGCAACTGATGCATAATGACAGCAATTTCTCTTCCTGGTCATTTCATTGCTGACCTTGCCCATTAAAATAAGCCCAGCTGCCTTGGAGAAAGAGACACTTCATTTCCCATCACCCTATGGCCCCATGGCATCTCCCATTTCCCCTGATCACCAGCCTTCACCAAAACAACATAGCTAGAAATGCTGCAAGCTAGAGATTTGGAGAAGCAGCTGGTTCACATGGATATGCATTGCAGACCCTTCATGCCACTGTTAGCATCTGTCCGAACTCCTTGACTCCCCAAATGGTGGCTTCAGACAATTCTATGCTTCACTAGTTTTTAAATCCTGCCATGCTGAACATCAGGTTATTGGCCTGCTTGGTCTGAGCCTCAGACTTTCAACAAGAGGACCTATCTGTTTATTCTGTCATTGCTGAGGTATGGAAGCTGCCATAAGCATAGAAAGGACCGACTTTATCTTCACAATAACAAATCATGTCTTCTAATGCTTTATGAACTCAACAATTTAGACAGTCTCCATCCAAAGTGTACCCATTGTTCAATCAACAAATATTCATTAGAGGTCTGTTAGGTACCAAGTACTTTGCTAAGCATTGACGATAGACAGTTATGTCCCTGCCTTCATGGGGCTCACAGTTGAGTGGCATTTTCCATTGGAATACGGATGGCTCATGTGTGTTGAATGTTTATTACGTGCAAAGCACTATTCTATGCAATTTTATATACATTAACTCATGTAATCTTCACAGTAACAATAAAGTGATTATTATTATCTCCATTTTACAGATGAGAAAACAGAGAAGGCAGAGGCTAAGTACCCTGCCCTGGAAAATGGGGAGTAAGGAGAAGAACCAGTATTACTTTTCTTTTCTTTTCTTTTCTTTTTTCTTTTTTTTTTTTCTTTTTTTAAGATGGAGTCTTGCTCTGTCACCCGGGCTGGAATGCAGTGGTGCGATCTTGGGTCACTGCAAATTTTGCTTCCTGGGTTGAAGCCATTCTCTGGCCTCAGCCTTCTAAGTAGCTGGAATTACAGGTGCCCACCATCACACTCGGCTAATTTTTGTATTTTTTTGTAGAGACAAGGTTTCACCATGTTGGCCAAGCTGGTCTCAAAATCCTAACCTCAGGTGATCTGCCTGCCTTGATCTCCCAAAATGCTGGGATTACTGGCATGAGCCACTGCGTTGGGCCAAGAACCATTATTTCAGATGCCATGAAATATTTCAGAGGAACTAAACCTGAAGAACAATATTTTATTATTTTTTGTTTTTGTTTTTCTCTTGATTCATTCCCTAGCCTGGTCAAGTCACTGATATATTTTATCCAGACTTCAAGAAGAAAGAGTATGTATTCATCAAAGGGAATTCATGCTAGAATCCTGTGCTTTCCTATGGGTCAGGACTGCCAACAACAACAACAAAAGTCATGTATATTCCAGTTAATAAACATTTAATATCACATAATATAAAATCATATACTGTTTTCTTTCTCTTTATTTCACTCAGTGTCTGAGATTGGTGTTTCCATGGTATATCCAGATAAATGAGCAAAACTTACGGGTTCATCTCGCAAATGTCTAATTTCAGTGTTGAAATTAGGCCCCATGATTTTGGGGGTCAAGATCATGGCAAACAGCAGTGAAAAAAATCTGGCCAACAAGGCATCTGGAAACAATTCCTGTCACCCATATTCTCAACCTAGCTAAGGGATGTGGACCGTATGACTCCACGATTCTCTTGCCTTTGTCAGGAATCCCAGCAGTTAAACACGCAGATAAATATGACCTAGTCATCACAGTGACCTCTGTGGCAGTGAAGGGAGATCTATTTCTTCAGCCTTTCTTACCAGAAGCTTGAAACCTTGATCTGTTTGTCTGCCTGTCTGTCCAGCTGTCTGTCTCTGTCCCACCACTTTCTAGGCTGTGATCAAGTCCAGGGATTACAGCAGCTCTGGGTGGGAAGCTTGTAAATGACAAGTAACAGATGCTCTGCCAAAAAAGCGATCATGCCAGAGATGGACTAAGTTAAACCAGACTGCATCCACCCACCACATCTCACCATGACCCCACACCTCAGGAAGGAGGAACGCCTTAGAAGGCTTTGTATAAACGAAGATAGGGCTGTGCACACTTCCCACTCGATGACTCATGCAACATGGAATTAGAGGCCCCAACCATGCACCTATAAACAGCAAATGGAAAACAAACACAGTGAGCACGCCCACGACTGTCGTTTCCTTCCTTCTCCCCGCCTCACCTACGCACTCCCACCATCCAGGCCCCAGGCCTCTGTACTGCAAAGTCCAACCGGGGGGACTCTGTGAATGCTGGAATGATACACATAAGCTGCCCTGGCTGCAAGAAGGAGACCCCCAGGCTGAGGGATGCCACTGGATCTGAGATTACCCTGGGACTCAGGATTTTTCACACACAGGGAGATCATCAGAGAGAAACCTCCTCTTTGCGTCAACCGCAATCACAGACAACTTTTTCACTGATATGACACACAGACATGGTATGCTTGCAGCCATAATGACATATAATCCCTAAAACACTTTTATGAGGTGAGTGGTATCAGCCTTACTTTACAGGCAACGAATGAAACCTAGGCTCAGAGATAGGCTGGAGGCCACACAGCACTGAGGGATGATCTGCTTCCAGAAGAAAAGAATTTCCATTACTCCATGGGAGAAAGGGCACATTTGTCTGAGTGCAGACTCACATCACATCAGCCACTCTGACCTACTCAGGACTGCTTCCTAGTCAACAGTCAAGGAAGCACGCAGGAGCCTCCACCTCCTACATTTACCCCACGCCTGCCTTAAATATTCTCAGGAAGCCAAGGATTCACTTCCCTTCCCTCCGTCTAGGCATTCAGGGCCCACATTGGGCTGGAATGCCAAGATAGCCAGGGAAACAGAGCCCATGGCTAGAAGTTGTCAAGGGCCTGCAGCCTGCACCGTTCCTTAAAAGAAACAGGGTGGGTGGAAGATGTTCATTATTCAGATCCTCATTAACAAAATTATACTTACCTTGATTCTGCTCCTGCAGAAAACAGACTGGGATTGGGTCCATTACCTCACCTTTCCCCAAGCAATGATGCTTAAATGAAGGTTGCAGGCCTCCTCTCTGTCTCATTCTCCATCTCTCTATTTCAATCCCACTCTTACTACGTGAACAAAAGATGGTCTCATCTAAAAAGAAAAAAAAAAAACAAGCTTAGGGAAGAAAATATCTAAAATAAAAGGATTCATCCCAGCAAAAATACCTGGAAGCCTCATGGCTAGCAATGCTTTAAAGAAAACAAACTTTGATTATTCAGTTAACAAATGAAAGCTTTAGGTCTTAGCAATGTGCTGGCCAGGAGGGAATGTGAAGATGAAGAAGATACTTTGCTTGCCCTTAAAGAGTCCTACTGGGTGTTTCTCAATGCCTTCCAGGGACAGTTGCTGCACACCTGTCACACACTGACATGTGCCCTCTGCCTTGACTGTTAGAACTGGAGCCAGAAACCCAAAGATGTGGATTCTGAAAATGGAGCCAGAAAAAAACGTGGATTGCAGAATTTTCACAAGGTCCCTCTCGGTGTTATTCTCTAAGCCAACATGGCACCAAATTCCTGAAAAATGCTCCAGAGCACCTTCTCCTACTCCCTTACTTAATTTGTCAAAACCCTGTGTCACATCAGTATCTGCCATGGGGTTTTGCAGAGGCTGAGTAGTGGGCTGAAACCCCCCATTGCACTCTGACCAGACAGTACAGCCCCTTCTCCATCTATCAGTCAGATTCAGAAAGTCATAATGTTGAATTTAGAGAAAGGGTTTTCCCCTGGTAAAATAGAAACCACTTTTGAAAACCACTGAAGAGGTTATCTGAGCTATTTTCCAGCCCTGATATTTAGTGATATAGGATTGTTGTCTGTGATTAAAAGTCCACTTGTGTAGGGTCAGTGCTCACCGAAAGATTTCCCCAAAACTCTCCTTACCTCCTTCAGGAGATTGTCATCATTGAAGGAAAACAGCAGAGCCAAGCCCCTCAGTTGCCCAGACCCATGTAACTGACAATGGCTGACTCATTCAACAAATATTTACTGAGGACTGCAGCATGACAGCAGTGTGCCAGCTGTTGACTTCGTGAGAATCAGTCGGCTCCATGGAAACTCCCCACAGCCCAGCGCTTAACAGCACTTTGGGTCAGGCTGACCTGGACTCCAGCCTGGGCTCATTGTCTGTGCAGCCGCTGAAGGTTGCTCACTCATTCTGAGCCTCAGTCTCCTTGTCGGTAAGAATAATGTTGTGAAGATCCATGACAGTCTTACTGAAAATGCATAGCATAGTGAGTGTGAAAACACATAGCACATACTAAATGCTCAAAAAATATCGTGATGACTACTGTCATAAAGTTCAGTTGCTTACTATCTCTCCCCTGAACTCTCTCAGCTCTCTAAACTGGTATCTCTGACTTCCGTTATCACCCTTCCCCTTCATCTTCTGATTGGGCCAGAGGGATGGCTCTTCATTCTTATTCATGCTTGAAGGCCAAATTCAAATGTCATCCCACTCTGCTAAGGCATTCTTAATTCTCAGACGCAAAATTAAACTCTGAGATTCCCAGTGCATACTTCTGTTTTTTCCATTATAGCATTTGATACGTTGTATACATTCATTTATGCAGCAAATATTTATTGAGTGCCTACCAGGTGCCAAGCCTTGCTCTAAGCCCCAGGGGATACATCAGGGACACCCAGACAATTGCTTGTTTGTGTCTCAGTCTCTAATCTCCCAGTCCCTACAGGGTGAGAGAGAAGGAAGCAGCGTTCCTCGCCTTAGCTAAATGTTTCAACCAACGTGTTCAACACGAGTTTTCTCAAATGGGCAAATGAATCTGATAGCTATACCTGTGTCACTGGATCTGCAAGAGTGGAAGTACAAAAGCTGCCTTCCTACTGTGGTTTGGGAATCCACAGGCGACTGGAAAAACCTTGGGTTGCCTCTCACAACCCATGGATTGCGTCATCCCAGCCCTCAGCTCCACAGCCTGCATCTGCCGCTAGGAACTAAGGCAGGAGAGAAAATCAGGGAAGAAAAAAGAAGGCATGGTAGAGGTTAACACAAGTTTTAAACTTTAAAATTTGAAGAAAGGCTAGAGGCCTATGGAGACCTACAGGAACCCTAAGTTAACATCAGGTGCACACACCTGGGGCCTTGTGTTTGGTCCAGCCACTTGCATCAGGCCTGTGGACAAGCCCCTGGGAGAGATTGCAGCTCCAGACTCTTCCAAGAAGATATTAGCAAGGATTTATATTTCTGCTCCAGCCCCCTCTCACCTTCTAGCATTTGGAAAAGACGTCATAGGAGCCAGCCTGGCCACAGGGGAACAACAGCAAAAGTGGGGGACAAACAGAACAAAGAGAGGTCAGTTGATGTGCAACAGCCCTCTCCCCAGAGGATTCCTCCTCTCACACTCCCATGCCATGTAAGACAGAGCCAGGGAACAAAAGAATAGGAAATGAACTAAGTGGCTAAAATATTCCAATCCCCAAATCCCATTATCAGCTTGTAGCATTGCTGGGACACCTGTGGTTAAAGGCAGAGAAGCTGATGCAGCATCTACAGAAGCCATGAGGCCAGCACAGGTCATGAGTCAAAACCTTGAGGAGTATGTTTGTGCGTGTGTGTGTCTGTGTGTGCGTGTGTGTGTGTTCTCATGTAGATACACACAGTCAAGGAGCATTGTTTCAGGTCTACTGTTTCCACTGTCCTTCTTTAGCTAAATAACAACCGATAGTAAGTTGGGGGCAGTGGGGGCAAGAAAAAGGAAAAGGAATGAATAAAATATTGCGATGGGTGGCTTGAAGCAAAGCAAATCCAAGACTCCCCAAAGCAGCTCAACTGCTCTCAGAGTTTTCTTAGAAAGGCAACCACCAAGAGGGGCATTCCAGCACCCTTCTGCTTGAGGGTAATAATGGACACAGAGAGCTCTATCACCATTGCTTCAAAGGTGCAAACGCTGCTCAGAAAAGATTCTTACCAAATTCTTCACGTTTCAGATAACATCTGTAATCTGATGTTATTTTTCACTTAGCTTTGTGCCTAGTAGAGAGCAAGTACTTGGCGCAGACTCATTGAATATATGAATGAATGAATGAATGAATGAGATCGGGGAAAGCTGTTTCCATCAGAAAACATTAAGGCTGAGTATGGAGGGGAGAAAGGAAGGTCAAAAGGATAAGAGGACCTGGAGCCACTGAGTTCTTGGTCAAATAAATGGCATGGTATGGGTATGGCCCCTTTGTCATTTGCAAGTCACGAGGGGAGCTACAGATATATGAGACATTAGCCTGTTCTCAGGGAGCATATGATCCATAGCCAAGGGCCAATGTGTGCACAAATGGTGATGAACAAAAACAACAACAGCCACAAAAAGCAGCACAGGGAAAGTGCCAGCAACACAAGCCCCAGTAAGAAACAGTGCGGAACAAAACATAGGTGTCAACAGCAAGGGTCCTCTAAATTGCAAGGGTACTGTTATTTTGGACTCTGGCAGTGGGGCTCAGAGGCTCCAGGAAGTGCAGTACCCAAATATTCTTTCAGGTGGCAGAAGGACAGCTGGAACCCCTGGCTCCACAAGGTACCTTTCTGTCCCCTATTTGCTTGCCAGTCCTGCCGACTCAAAGAGTCGGGCGTTAATCGCAGAGGGATTTTTGTAATGTCTTTATATAGATGAGTTAATGTAAAGGCTTTCCAACATAAGCATGTTTTTCTATTCCTTCTCTCTGACCTTGGCATTTTCTTTCTCCATTCCAGGCTCAGTGCTGTCCTGTGGCCAGGTTTGCCTCTCATTTGTCAATGTTATTATTGAATTTTCAAATGCCAGTAGTACACATAAATCAATGGCTTTCTTCTCCCTACTGGCATATCCCTGCCACATGTGGTCATTCATTTTTTTAATAAGTCCTCCTCTCCTTTCACCCATTTATAAAAATGCATCTTGTCCCCCCACCACCGTCCATCACTCGGTGAGCCCAGCTATTTGTTGCCCCTGAGTGCATATTCATCAACGTTTTCAAAAGCAAAATCACTCTTCGCCTCCTGCTCTTATTGTGCCATCAATCTTGACCGGAGGATCAATAAACTTCGCTTCTGCAATTTCCCCCCCACCCCTTCGGAGCTGACTCTCTCCAAAGTGCAGTCTTTTTATTTACATTTTTAACTGATCATCAGCAGAGGGGGGATGGCGGTGTCAGGGAAGCGAAGGGCTTTCATTTGCTCCCGAGGCAGCAATAACCATCCATGCATCGGTCATTTAACACGGTAACCCAGTGAAATTGATACTCGACTCTTCCCTGCCCAGGGTCCACCCGCGTAAATCATAACCTGAGGAAACAAAAGCCCTGCCTGAGCAGTGTGTCTTGCCAGCAGGCAGGCAGGCAGGGAACGAGGCTGAGTGACTCACCCTCTCCAAGTCTGGTTGGAGGAGAGGCACATGGTTTCCAGGAATTTCTCTGCATTGTTTTATATGTATTAAGGGAAAATTAAAATAAAAGGATCTGAAGTGTTGAGAAAAGGAAAGACGGCTGAATTTAAAATGGGCAGACGTATAAGGCCAGGCTGGCAAAGGGGCCTTGAATTGACTGGCTCATTAAATCTCCTCGAGGCTTGTAGACACATCAAGTTCACAGGGCTCTTGCCTGCTGTTAATGCTTGCAGAGAGACGGGCAATGTCCAAATTGCAAAGCTCCATGAGGCAAGCGAGTCGCCTATGAAGTCAGAGGGATTTTGGTTTAACCCACCCTAAGAGCATTTCCTCAAGTCTGAACTAAAACACAAGCAAGATAATATGGATTTGACACCCCAACATCCACTGAGGATTAAAGCATACTGTCTTTCTTGGTTTGGTTTTTCCATTACTATTTAAATTTTGAGCTGCTTTAGGGCTTCCTAAAGGTAGTGAGGCTGGCTAACCTAGTCAGGAAGCTTGCCAGCTGATCACTAAGTACTGTAAAGTGTTAATGGTACCCTCTCTCCCACCACTAGTGTTCTCAGCTTAATGAAGAATGATACAGATGAAGGGAAGCTGGGAAAAAAAACTCACCCCTTTTGCATACCTACCCTGCTCCAGGTACTCCACATCTGCCACTGTGCAGATTGTTACAGCAACTCACCAGGTAAGTTCTGTGGCCATGATTCAAGAGTGGGTAAATTGCCATACAGAGATTCAGCTACGGACCCAAGCTATAAATTTTGAATACAGCTCTCCAATTTCAAAGTCTTTTCATTACCCAATACTATCTCAAGTCCTCAGGAGTCATCTGACTCACACCAGAGAAGTGTGTGACCAAACCAAAGGAGTTTTATGGGGAGTGCCTGTAAGTGATCTAAGAGGACAGACTCCTTTTCCAACCCCAGAGCCATCAAATTCCTGTCATAGGTTTTGGTGACAAAGGAAATTCAGGGTCCAAGAGTTAAAGCGGCCTCAGGAGTCTGGCATCCAAGACCCAGTAGGGCTGGAGGAAAGCAATGCATTGCATGATGGATGATCTATTCCAAAGTGGGGGTGGGGTGGCCACTGCTTTTCAGGAAGTCCCTTCTCCTTCTTGAGCCTAGTTTTTTCACCTCTAAAATTAAGGAGTTGGACTCCATGATGCCTAAGGTCTCTCCTAGATGTGAAATTGCTATAATCCCATGATCTATATTCCATTAGCATTTTCGGCAAAGGTACGCAGCTTGGAATACACAGAGCTGACCTGAGTATGGCATCTTTAGATACGAAGCCCTCCCTGTCTTCAACTCTGTGGTGTCAGAGAGTGCCAAGATCAGAGAGAGTTTGCAGCGGCACTTTACAAATATATGCTGTCTTCTTTCTTTAATCTCTTCAGTTATAATATGGGAGCAATCAGATTTGATGAAGGCACTGCTTCGGGGGCTTTAGATATTTGGATTCACATTTTTGAATTTCACGGGGAGGTAAAATTTTGAAATAAAAATATAACATGGGCCAGGCGCGATGGCTCATGCCTGCAATCCCAGCACTTTAGGAGGCCGAGGCAAGCGAATCACCAGGTCAGGAATTT